AACTCTTTCTCAGCTCCCACCTATAAACCTATCTACAGCTGCTGCTAATGATCTGCTTACACATAGCATAAGCAGAGAAGAAGAATAAAAGAGGGTAAGCTCATGGCTGAGTGCGATAATCATAGCATCGTGAGTTCATAACAGAGCATACCCCTACCATACATCTAGCAAACAAGCCAAAGCACTGGGATCAGATCTCAGCCCTCCAACATCCCAATAGGCAAAAGACTCAACCGCCTTGACTTATGCATATGCATCTTATCATGTTTTACTCATAGGCGCCTGGCCACTCCCATGCTAATAACTCTCCCGGTAAACATACCCCACATCCCGTCAGATGTAGTCATACATACCCCAACATCCCGTCAGATGTGGTCATCCATACCCCACACCACTATGGGTGTAGTCGTATCTCATAAGAATTCTTCAGTCACCACCACATGAGAGGTGTGACTATCATACATATCATAATAGAGTAGTAGCATAGGAAGCCCTAATTACTATGTAGTTGACCGTGAGACCACACCACTCAATCCTTATACATGATTCATATCTCATCTTGCTTAATCATAATTCTTTACTTGCACATGTACTTGACCTGACCATAATTGGCTCAACATAGGTAAACCAGGAGTCGTATAGTTGCACTTCCTCGGGATAAACCCTCGTGCAAGTCATCCTCCTTAAAACATCATAATATCACCAGGGAATATATATTTTCCCACTTGTGCATCCAAATACAACAATCATGAAAAATCATACCTAATCACCTTCTCGAACCATCATAAAGCATATTAACAGTCAAGCCCACAATTTGCAACATATACACAATCATCAGCATAAACAAGGTCCATATCGATTAGGGCAAGTCAATAATATCATACAGTAATCCATGGTTCATCATCTAGCGTAAAAGTCCATACACCCCTAATCATGTCATTCTAATTCACCTAGGTCAATTCTAAGCATCAACATAATTATCATGATATGACAAACCCGTATGCCGTGCTAATCCCTCACCAGTTCTGGACGTTCAAACACCGGTTTAACCTTCCCGTACTAAAATGTCAATTTCACGAATGAACCCCAAATTAAAATCCGAGACCGTCCTAATATCCCCTGCAGTATCCCCGTCAATATTAGTTCTAGACTCTGGGTCAAATTCTTGATAAAAACACATCAAACCCTGGCCGGAGCTAAATTCAGCAATTCCGGCTCCGATCTAAATAATAGCCAAAATTCAGGAATTAGAACTAGAGGATTGATTACCTCGCTGTAGGAAGCTCGTATATGAAATTTGGGCTCAATCCGGCTTCCAGATACTCCGAAACTCTAATTTGGCTTATCGGGAATTTAAGAAATTCCTGAACCAAAAACTCGTTTTAAAGCTCTAAATCGATAAATCACGATGTATAGATGAATTAGGCATTACTTACGGGATTTTTGGATCAGTGTAGCTCAAGAATCGAGCTACGAAAATTTTTCCCTGGAGCTCTGCGCGCGGCTCTGCTTCTCCGTTTCTCTCAACCGAAATGAAAGAAGAAGAAGAAATGGATGGGAATTATAATGAGCGACCGCTTACTAACATATATATATATAATATATATATATAATTAATACGTATACTTATCCGATCGATCGATAATCCGATTTTTGTCGAAATACTATCAAAACACTCGATTTTAAATCGCGAACTTTCTAGCGATCAAAATATGGGTTTTGCCGGAACGAGATGTTACATCCATAATCAAAGTCACAAATTTTCTTCCATCTGTTTCATCCATCTGGATCTTTCCCTTTCTCTAACGGGAAGGAGAAGATCGGGAAGGAGGAAGAAGGGGGAAAACGTCCACCTTGATTGTTCTCTCCTGTCTCTTTCTCTTTCACAATCTCCCATCTCCCAAATTGGGTGATGAAACAACTAGCTTACTAAGAAAGGAAGATGGCATTGATAATAGGAAGGTCGGCAATAGACACCAGTGATGGTTCTAGCAACAGAGACTTAGGTGAGAACCGTTTTCTTTGCATGACCAGAATCCATATTTCGTATGATTGTATTGCTGTTATACCAATAAAAGATTTAGAGAGGCAGACTGAAATTGTGAGCGATCAGTGTTTGATCTCATGCAAGAATGATGCATGACTATTACAATGTTCCATAGAAGGGTCTTTTCTGTCCATTTTTCCTTTTAGTTGTTGATGAATATGCTAGAGAAAGAGTTATTTTAACTGATCCCTATAATAAGTATATACTTACCCATAATATCATTAGTCTGATGTCAGTTCACTTTTCATGGGTCGTTGACGATATCTACATGCATGGTCTTACTTGAACATCGATTGATTACATGTTACTTGTGACGTCTTTCATTTCATAGAGGATATCTACATGCATAGTCTTACTTGAACATCGATTGATTATATGTCACTTGGAATGTCTTTCGTGTGATTCTAACTCATAAATTGCAAGTTACTATCCACTAGCTAAAATTGCAATCGGCTAGCAAAAGGTGTGTTCTTCAAGTGCCGCCATTTACTCCAACCATTGCATTGTGATTTGCTTGGGTAAGGGCCTTTAATGTTCCATTTATCATCTTCCTTTCATTTTGGTGTTTGTTTAGTTGATGCTTAGAATTAGTTTTTGTTCCCCGCAGTGGTCTCAAATTTTCACAGCCTGTTAGCTATTTACCCTACAAATGCTTATGGAAAGACGAAATCAAAAGGTTTATGTTTGTCTTATGTAGGGTGTTAGCATCTCTTGAAATGTATTCTTTAATAAACATGACGATTTAATGACTTAATTAATCTATAATAACTCTATATAATAATCATGAACAAACTAGAGAGATGCTAACACCCTACTGTCAGTGCACTCATTCTTATGATCATTATTAAGATATGAAACAATGAGGCATCTCTTTACTAGAATTTCCAGATACCAACCGCAACACTTTTCATTCTTTTTCAGTTGGTTGTTGTGGTGTTTTCAATTTCAGTTTAATGCTCTCAAACTAATTACCATTTTTTTGGCCGATTAAGCGATTGTGTATGAAGATGAGACTTAAGTAAAGCATATTATTTGTTCGTTTGCAGGGACCACGAAGCACGGTTTTGAGAGAGAGAGCTTGCACTCTCATATGTGACACCAGCTACTAAGGCATCCAAATGTGGATCAAACATTTTTTTTATTGTGATCGTTCTTCTCTATGACGATCGTACAACTCTTTCACAACTTTTTGTTAATTAATTTGGTCACACCATCTTTTTTATCCAGTTTTGTGTTATTGAATTGGGTCTCCTGTCTCCACCACTCAGGTTTATCAAACGTTAGAGGAGAAAGACCAAGCTAACTTGAAACTTGTCGTGTCATTGCAAGGGTTGTGAACAGAGGTACTTGGAGGGTTATTGATGCTCCACTCATTGCACTGGTAGGACTACCATTGCACTGAAAAAGAAAATTAATTAATATGAGTTTTTTATTCAGACATATTATTAAATGCAACATAAATAAATTACCTTAAAAGCTTATAATTAATAGGAGGTATCATTTTTCCAATCCTTTTAGTGGTAGTCATGCTATCTCACCCCAAAGTTAACTACTCAGGCTAGTAGCCAAATTAGGTCTTGAGGACCTTTATTAATTACAACCCTAGGCATAAAAATACACTGAATCAACAAAAGCAAAACTACCATAAATGAAATCAGGAAAAGTTGCCATTTTTTATCCAATAAAGTTGCATTCTTACTTCTGGTGGTGGGTAAAATACCTCGGGTACCACTTAACTTTGAGAACTGGGGGAGCCATACCACTTATATTAGAATAGGGTGTCGGGTACCACTATTGTCGAAGATTGTGCGTCCGTTCGTTTTTCCGCCCCACTGACTAACGACAATAATAAAAAATAAATATTTTTGCCACATCAGCGCTGACTGTGTGCGCCCATATGTCCTGAGTCACTTTTGGAGGGAAACTTGGCACCAAAAATCACCATTCCTTCCCTCTTAACTCCATAAAAGAAGCTCTTCTTTTGTCTGGCCGTTCTCCACCCCTGTAAACTCTAAAAACAGAGTCTTGTTCACCTTCTCTTTTAATATTTCACTCTTATCATTTGCTTCATCTTTTTCATTTAATTTTGCTTCTCTCATCCTCATTGGGTTACTATTAAGGCGCATGACAACTCCTATTTGTCGATGTGGTGAGGCGGCAGTCCTTCGTACCTCTTGGACCAATGGCAATCCGGGTCGTCGATTTTACGACTACAACAATTATGGGGTAAGTGAAGTTTAATGTAATGATTTTCGGTTAATAATCAAATGCACAAAGCTTATATCTTTCATAGCTCATTTTTTGTTTGTTTGGTTGTTTTCGATTTATATATAGACTTCGGGAGCATGTAACTTTTTTCGTTGGGTGGATCTGATATTAGATGAACCCATGAAGCAAGCTATTCATGGTTTACACAGGCGGATCGTGGCATTAGAGAGGAGGAACGATCAGCCCTCTATTTTTGTTGGAAGGATTAAGCTCATATCAATAATGTTGGGAATTTTTGTTATTGTTTACATAATAATGGATGTGTAATATTTTGGAGCTCATGGGTAATGTATTGTCGTAGGTTTGAATGACTACTATCAAAGTGGTCTAATGTAGTATTGTAGCATGTATTATCAAGTACTTTATGTTGTATGCTTGTGTTTACGGTAGGAAAAACAACTACCATTTCATTACCTCAACAAGTTCACAAACTGTTTCTGCGAAAGATCGATCAAAAGCTACCTGATATGTTAGCTTATACATGTTTACACATACGATTTTTGCAAAGGATCAATCAAAAGCTCCTGAAATGCTAGCCATTACATGTTTAGTGAAACGGTTTCTGCAAAAGATCGATCAAAAGCTAGCTATTACATGTTTACTGAAACTATTTCAGCAAAAGATCGATCAAAAGTTTCCTTAATTGCTAGCTTAAACTGAACTTGTTAGTACTTCTTCAAACATCTTATCCTTGGCAAGTTGCACCTACATGAACCTGCAATAGGAATTTAGTTTTGTCAATAATAAAAATACATTTAGCTTAAGCACTTCGTTTGTAGCAGCAGGCAAAGGAAGGAAGGAGGTAAACTAGTGGTTTTGGAAATTAGCCAATCTTCTCCTTCCTCCATGAACCTGTAATAGAAAATTCAGCAAGGTTTATATAAAACTTACCGGAGTACTCGATTGATGGTTACTAGTTCCAGCTTCAGATGTTTGATGTGGATAAAGTACACGAGCTGCCAACCCAGCAAGGTTTGCATATCGCGTGTTAGACCTACGAGTATTGTCTCCAGAATACCAAAGATCAGCCGCATTCACTTCATTTCCAGCCTGAAAATGTTCATATGTGGTCTCTGGTTGTTCATTTCCAGCAGTTGATTGCTGACTTCCTTGCTCATTCCGATGTGGCCTCTTGCAATGAGGAAGAAAGTATGCTCGACACCACTGAGACAATGGCTTTTCCAACAACCACTTAGAAGCATCTTCATTATACTCCCTAAGATTGTCCATATTTTTCTTAAACTCAGCTACATAAGTTGATCTAGCAACAACCCACAAAAGGTCTTTAGTAGTTTTGTTACCACCTTGGGATCATTGTAAATTTGACCACAAATGTCTCACACAAAATCGGTGGCCAGCTAGAGCATCAACGAGCCCCTACAGCCCACAACATACTGAAATAATAGTATATCAGTCCACAATAAGAAGCAATAACCAGCAAGTCATTATAATAAAAGCAAAGTTAACAATAAATCAACTAACCTTTTGTTTATCTGACATAAATGTCCACCCTTCACAAACTTCTGGAACTTTTATGTCACTGAGTACATGAGACAAAAAACCATTTCCAAGTTTCTTCATTCTTTACCCCCACCATGGCATATGCAAATAGGGAAAATTCCATTATTAGCATCAATGCCAACAGCTGAAAGTAATTGGCCTTCATGAAGCGTCTTCAGGAAGCAACCATCATCAAGGAAGATGATCTTCCTACATCCGGCTGCAAATCCTTCTTTACAAGCAGCAAAGAAGCAGTACATTCTACGGAAAATATTCTCCTTCGTGTCCACATATATGCTCGGTCAGCTCGGACCTGGATGTGTTTGATACACCTCAGCGCAATAGTCGCGGAGCCATGCATATTGATCTTCTGCATTGCCTCTTATTAGCTCCAATGCATACTCTTGCGCCCTTCTTGCTGTCCATCTAGATATAGTATAGTGAAAGTCTTCTTCGCAATTTTGCACTATGGAATCATTCCCCCATTTCGGATCAATTTTAAACCTCAACAAGTACTTTTTTGCAATATATTTGTAGGTAAACCACTTGTGGCGAGACAGCAAAACACATCCATCATGTATCCCATTGTACGACTTCACCACAACTGACTTCTTTTCCGGAGAAGAAGAAACCCAAATATCCCATTTGCAATTCTTATCACAACACACTTGAACTCTCCCACGGTCGCTATGGACAAACCTCAAAGGGAACTTGTTCTTGATCGAGTAAGATCTTATAGCCTCCCTGAATATCTTCAAGTCACTGAAAACCTGACCTAAGAAAAATTGTGGATTTTCCATATCTCTTGCCAGATTAAACTCTGGGAACCTTCTTCTTGTACTACCATCTTCATCATCGCTCGAGTGAATGCTGCCCAAGTAGTCCGAATCACCACAATCGGTGACACAATCTTCACCAATCACATTATCAATGATGAGATTTTCGTTGTTCGCTCCACCTTCAAAGTCATTTATATCAAAGTCATCGTCACTGAAATCATTTTCTTCGTCCACAAAACCACTATCGCCATCAGAATCATTTCTGTCCTTGGATCTTGATTTAAACCACCTCCTTACCCACCGTCAGCCTCTAATCTGATGCTTTCTAACTCAGCTTTCTTGATAAGATATAGCTCAACAAACTTTTTATCGGTAACAACTTCTTGAGCCACAGCCAGCAAATCTTTGTCACTCTTCAACTCCACCAGACCTTCTTTCATATTATGAGCATCCACTTTATAATAGTATGAATACCCATTCAAGATTCTAAATTATTCTATGTCTTTAGTCTCAACTTGCAGGAGGTATCCCACATCAGTAAGAAGTCCATCTAGCTCCAGGATTGATAAACAATCAGGATCAACATAATCCCAATACTTTACTTTCCCTCCCACATAACAACCATTTTCATTTGGGCTGTCCACATGCCCATCATAATGCATTTCTATGGTGAATTGGTTTTCACGGATTCCTATTATCAAACACATATTAAACAATTAAGCATCCATATTCAATTAGGAAATAGAATTAACCAAAACAAGCATTGGAATCCATGAGCTACTGATAAAAAAAAACATTTTCAAAGGGAAAAGATAATGGGGCCACAAGATGAAAACAATAAACTCAAACTAACTGCTAAACTCTTCCTTTAAAGAAACTAACTAGGACCACAACCTGTTCTTTCTGTGTTTGAAAAGAACAAAAAGGTCACAACACACTTGGCATTTACAAAACACATGTACTTTGCATAAACAAACTCAGATTTCAATTTTTAACATATTTTAAAGGTGATTCTTCCAATGACAGACAAAGCAAGGTTTCTTTAATGCAACTCATCCAACTTTTGGGACCACAAGTAACACCCTGTGCAAACAAAGACCACAAGTAAACTTGAAGGAATCTAACACCAGCAACGCAAAAGGACAAGGAGCATTTGCTCATAAGCTGCCAAAAAATAAAGTGATATCTCCACCATGCACACAAGACCAGCCAAAGCCAACACAATACATCGCTCACCATCAGTACACAAAAGCAACCCTAACAGTAGAAAACAAAGATAAACAGTGAGAATCATTACCATATCTCGGTAATGAATCATATACAAACCCCTCTTTTCTCAGGACAGGGGCCATCCAAATTGAAATTGCGGCCGGATCGACTCTTTAATTGGAACCCTAAACGACAAAGCATATTTATAGATCAGTACAATGTTGCACCAAATGGAGAAAAATAAAATAAGGACGGAAGAAAGAATCAGAGATGGGAGTTTACATACTCCAGACCAACCTTCCTCGCCGACTTTGTGTCGTATTCTTCTTCTTTCAAGGTTCGGTTTTGGGGGTGGGAAAGAGGAAGAGAATGCTTATGCAAAAGTTGGGTTTGATGTTCCTTTTGTTTATTTTATTATTAATTTTTTTTTATTAGTTTGTAGCAGAGTCCCTCCAAAAGTGATTCAACACATATGGGCGCACACAGTCAGCGCTGGTGTGGCAAGAATACATTTTTTATTATTGTCGTTAGTCAGTGGGACGGAAAAATGGACAAAAGCACAATTCTTCGACAATAGTGGTACTCGGCGCCCTATTCTAATATAAGTGGTATGGCTCCCCTAGTTCTCAAAGTTAAGTGGTACTCAAGATATATTACCCTCTGGTGGTTGATTGAGACAATTAATCATATATTAGCATATACCAAAATAATAACTAATAAAATAGTACGTAGTTATATAACAAAAAAATAACTAGTGAAATAGTACATTATAATATGGAATTTGAAAAGAAAACCTTATCATAAGTGGAAAATAATAGTATATCACAACCTGGTTTAGACTTCTTTAATTTTAGTATGTTTCTAGCTTAATCTTGAGTTTATGGTAATGTTAATATCTTCTTCTTTGTCTTATTACGAGGTATTATTCTCCATGGAAGCTTCTGCCCCAACAAATTCTCATTTTAGGTAATTTATTCTATTTATGTGTTAGTTTTTTCCTAACTCCAAATTTTGTATGTATTTTTAGGCCTTTCTACTTCTTATTATCTCTGTTTCTACTCAGTCCCTAAAGGAAAATGATTTTTTTGGGACAACAAAAAAGAGTAACCAAAGGGGATGGAGTTGTCTTCAAATTTGTTTTGGAAACCATTTATTCCTTTGGAGAGGCTGTAATTTCTGTCACAAAAGATCTTTTAACCTGTGTTGTTTCTTATTCTTTCTTCTCTGTCATTTGTTTTACTCGCATTCCTTCCATTTGGTATGTCTTCATGACATAAGTTCTTCCGACATAGTTCTGATACACAATTTTTGCAAGCATTTGATGCAGGAGATAATGTTCGTCTGAGTTTCAGTTGATTCGACTGCTGATAAGTCTGGAGAGATCTCCTTCTTACTTGCATTTTTCTTTGCTTTTTAGCAGGAATTTTTGCTTGACAAACAATAATTTTTTTGAAACCATGAAGGGGAGTTAAATACAACAAAATGGTCACAAAAAAGATTCGGTGATCAATTTGTCAATTTTGATACTTTGAGTGGCAAAAAATTGTTGTTTGTGGAGTCCTCTTTTGTTATAGTCTATCTTTAGCTTAAGCTAGGGGTTATGCTAATGTCAATCCTGTTTTTTCTGTCTCATGATGAGGTATTATCTTCCATGGAAGCTCCTACTCCAACAAAACTCAAAAGGTAATATACACTGTTTTCTTCTTTTGCTTTAGTTTTTTCTTAGGTTAAACTTTTGGGCTTGTCTTCTCCTCTCTTTTTCTGCTCCTACATGTACAAGGAAAAGACATTTGAGATAAGACAAATGAGTAGCTAAAGGGAACTGAGTGGTCTCAAAAATCATTTGGAGACCATTCATTCCTTTTGGAGACTATTGGTTCTGGCACAAAAGATCTTTTATCTATGGTTTTCCTGGTGTTTACTTTTCTGCATTATCTCATTTATTTTTGTTCTATTCGGACCGAGTACTCATACACCATTTTTTTGCATGAGCATATGATGCAGCCCGGAGATCACAACTGCCTGAATTCCTAACTGATTTCACTGCTGATGAGTTTGGGTAAGACCTCTCTCTCTATCTCTTGCTTTTCTCTTTGCTTTTTAGTATGTTCTTTTCTGCAAGAGAAAATTACACTTTGCAACTGAAATTGGTCGTTAAATGCAACAAAGAAGGTCACCAATGACCAAACAGATATTGGTGATCTTTTTGTTAATTTTGGCCAGCCTACTTTCAGTCACAAAATATTTGCTTTTTTGTTGTTTTTTGTTTTTTTTACTCTATTTCTTGCTTATGTTGGATTATGCTCTGCATTAATTTGTTTCTTTTGTGTCTAATGGCGAGGTATTCATCTTTCATGGATGAGTTGCAAGAAACTTCAATCATAGAAAAAAGTATTCATCTTTGCACCAAGAGCCCTATCAACTAGCAATTATGTTTCAAGGTATTATATGTTGGGTAGTCACCAATGGATCTGTGAGTAGTCGCTCATGCTTGCTGGATTGAAAGAGGTAAAAAAATTGGGTAATCTCCATTCATACGACGGAGAATAGACACTAGAGAAGGAAGAAAATAACCCAACACGAGTTAAAGAGGTGCACAGAGTCTTATGATGTACCTGTGCGTAGCCCACCAGACCCCTTAAGTGTACTTACGGTTTATATATACTAACGAGGTTGCTTAGTATATACAAATCCTAAGTTGTGTTTAAGGGGTCCAGTGGGCCGTGTGATTGTGCATAATAAGTTCCTACGACACGTGGAGAACCATCATATTCATTTTAAGTATTGATATCAACCATTCATTTCTCTTTCAACTTACACAGTTTAGGTAGAACAATGCTCATTATTCAACTTATTTGCTTCATCATAAACTATGACAAAGTGATCAATAACTAAGCTCTTACAAACTCAATATTTCGTTCAGTACTAGTAGATCCTTCGAGAAAGTAACTGACCAGTTCATAAGGTATGCGGTTTGAGCGTAAATTCAAACCCTTACAATCTTGTAAAAGGAGCTGAGCGTTATTGTAGAGCCTCAGAATGTTCACTCAGTAGTCAGTTCCTACGTAAAACAGAAATATAGCGTAAAATGCAATATTTGCCAACACGAACCACGTTACATTATACACGCAATAAGATCTGTTTTCCGGCGAGGAAAACTCTAGTGTTTGAATTCAATTAATGCACCTTGACTTCTTGAACAACGAAAATCAACACGGTTTACACCTCTCTGAACAATTTTCAAACGAGGGTGTTCGATATTTTTTATGGTCTTTTGGGAAAAAGTTACATTAATTACTCCTACTCCTATTAAGGTTCAGTGAGAGCTCCAAAAACTAAAGGGTAAATCTAATTTGCAGAGAAAGGATAAATGTTGACATTGTGCGTTAAATGTTTGGTTGTGGAACCCTCTTACAATATTGGTTTCTCCTATTTATAGCCACTAGGTGTAACTACCTTGGTAACTGCCCTGGTAACTGCTAGCCAGCCTTTTGCTCCAACTGCCTTAGGACCCCTTGTCGTTGCCATGCTGTTGACTCCTATCACATTGGGGCCTGATAGACCATTATTTGCACATGTTTAGACCACCATTCTTGAACTGTTTGAGAGTCGATTTTCGTGTTTTTAAGCCGAGTTCATGCTAGGTTGTTCGTTTATGTCATATTTCAGGACTTGGCGTGGATATGGAGGCGTGGAGACGAGTTTCGGGTCGAAAAGTGGAAGGCTGGAGCTAGAGGAGCTGTCAGGCGAAAATACCGGTTAGGCACTAAATACCCAACCGGGTAAAACTTGAAAGGAGGCCGGGTAAAGATGTTTTGGAGGCCAATGAAGCAGAAGGGGTCCCGGTCAGAAAGCATAAATACCGGATCGGGTATTCTCAACCTCGATCGGGTATTCCCTCATCCCCATTGTGCTGCGTTTCATAATACTCGGCCGGTCTCCTGAAATACCCAACCGAGTATTATGGTCCGGTATCGCGATCTGCACCCTTTTGAAGGAAAGAAGGCCAATTTTCATGGCGTCCAATTTTTGGAGATAGAGCGCAGAACCCTATAGAAAGAAAGTGACGAACCAGAATTTCCAAGCGCCCTAGATCGATCTTCAACACCATTGAAGCTCGGTGGAAGCTTGGAGAAGTGTCGATTGATTACCAGAAGCAGATTGTCATCCTTCACAGAATGACTTCCGCATCTGAAGCAGATTTCTCTTCTCTCTCTATGGAGTAAACCTTCTCACTCACCTGTGTATGAGGAACCCTAGATTTGTATGTTAGGTCTGGTTGTATGAACCCAAGTACAAGTTCTTTAATATTGATTATATTCACTTGAGGCATGATTTTCTGAATTGCATGAATTCTTATCAAATTCCTGTAGTTTCTGCTTTGACCTAGAAAGAGAATAACCGCCTAGGTTGATAGAGCACCCGTAATTGAAGGTAGTGAATTGACGACTTTAGCCAAGGAGTCGGTTCACTATTTTGTACTGGATTTACTCTAGTAGAAGAGGTTTGGCACGTTAGGGCCTCAGTTTGTTTACTCCGGTGGAGGTTAGTTGCCCGCTGGGGATTCACATTGAGAGGGTCCGGAGATCTTTAGTCGAGACTTCAGACTGTCTAAGAACCTTTTGCTGTATAATTATCATTGAACGCTGTATAATTATCATTGAAACTGGATTAGGTGAATTACAACTTGCCTTAACTGCATTCTAGGGGGAACCATATCTGGGTGACCTCTCTCAAACTTGGAACACAACATTTAATGCTTTTGTTTGCTAGTTTAGTTGGAACTTCATTATAGTTGAACCGCTAAATAATAAGAATCTCATGGAGTAGTCATCACACCTAGGATCCTGGTTGACATTTGAAGCTAAGCTCGCTATACTACGCATTAGCAGGTGGTTGCACTTGGCCACTTTCTAGTGCGACGGTACAAGCGTGTCAGGGCCCCTTGCCTGGCCTTGTTGACTGGTTGATACTTGGTAGCCTTGAAGGCAGACATGGTTGGTGTTGAGTCGTGTTTCCTTCTCTTAACTGGATGGGGTTGAAGCCCTTAACGTTTCCTCAACGATGAAGTTTCGACCACCCCCTTTGCAGCCCCCCAAGACTCCATACTTAGTTTTGTTGCTATCGTCTTGCTCCTGCTTTTGTTGCCTCTCCGACTTGATACCCCCTGCCACCAAATCAGTCATGTCGGCCCCTGCCACCAAGCCAGTCATGTCGCCCCCTGCTACCAAGCCAACCTTGTCGGCTTGGTCTCCATACTTAGTTTTTAGAATGTCATCAAGTTGGGACCTCGCCGCCCCGCCGGCTTTGTATCCGGGGTCACCAAGCCCATCTTGGGACTTAGTCTCCATATGACCCCTTAAGGGGCTCTACATCAATTCTCCATCAAGTTGATACCCTGTCAGCTTGGTACCTTGGCTGACAAGTCTCCATGCTCGACGTTCCATATTTAGCCAAATTTCATATTTGGGTACTAGGCCTGCCTTGCCAGCTTGGTACCCTCTTGATTCGTTACTTAGCCAATTTTCTTATGTTTTGGTATCAGGTCTGCCTTGCCGGCTTGATACCCTCTTGGTGACTTGGTACTGTTCTTTCCGGGCTACCGTTGTTGAGATATACAAATCCGTGGGGCCTATGGATTTGGTCCTTTTTTTATTTTTATTTTAGCTCCAAATCTGTGGACCTCACGTATTTGCAAAACCACATTTAATTTGGTATTTAGTCATAGAAGGCAAGGATATGTGAGCCATGGTACAAAAATCTTTAAATCCATGATCAAAATCAACTAAACAAACAATGTTATGTTTCAAATACAAAATGCAATAAATCCACATAAATCCAAAGGTTTTCCAAACTCAAAACCTTCATTTTCAAATCCAACAAGCAAACAAGCCCTTAGTTTTTTTAGAGCCATATTACATATCAAGGGGTCGGAGGCATCTTCTGGGCTATAGGGGCAGCCAACCACTAGGCCAGGGTTAGGTGGCTTTGCCACTTAGGCCCAAAAATCTAATAAGACTCAGCTAGCTCATTTAATGATTAATGTTGAGCTGGCCTTATAAATTCATTAGTCCTTTGTAATTAATCGATGTGGTATGAGATTAATTTTTAGGTGTAAAAAAATGGCCACACAACTCAGTGTATAAGTATTATGCATTAAGTTGTTGAACCGTGGTAAAGTTTAACACTCTCTCGTTACCACCTTGACCAAACTCCGCGTTAAGGACTCCATGTCGTCAATTATTTTCTCTTCGAGATAGTTATTGTTGTCCCAACTAATAATAAAAAAACCATCCCGTTGTGTCCTTTACTTAATCAAAATTTGGCATTTTGAAAAGCCAACGAAAAGCGTGATATCCTTTCTTCTCATGCGGCCATTATTTGGCTTTAAACAAAACCCATTGAATCACCATCACCTCTTGTGTTCAAAGCAACCCCTTTGCCTTATCCTTGGCTACTATTAGCCAAACTAGCTCTTCTTGGTTTGTTAATTCAAAATTGGATTAAGAGGTTGAACGTAAACAAGAAGGATGCTAAAGCTTCTAATTTCCTTTTCGATATCGCATTTTGCCTTTGGTGGTTGCTTATAGGGGAATTAGCCCCCCCCCCCCTAATCTTCCATTTATCCTAGCTAGCCGATATCGTGTTTCTTTATGCTTCCAATCCAACTCCTCTGTGCCATGACTATCTATGCAAGCTATGTCCACCAATAGGATTTCATGTCATTCCCTAGGCGTGGAAAGACAATCATCATGATGGTCGGTTAGCATTAAATCTATTGACATCCCACATTTCAAAGAGAAATAGGGGCTGAGACACTCATCATTGATCAATTAATCATGTATCACCCCATCCTCTTTCAACAAGTAGCCATCCTTAGAAGGGTGGCATGAAATTTAAACGATCCATGCTGAACACCTAGTTACCTACTCATGCCATGAAATAGCATGGTGTACCCACCAATCAAATGAGTGTAAGGGGATACATAGATCCAGCTACATGACTCGTTGTTTACCAGTCATGGCAAAGTCTTCACATCGCAAGTGTTACAACTCTAACTTCTTTTTTTAGCATTGAACGGCTTTTTTCTCTTATTTTACTAGTATTTATTTATTTTAATATAGTAAGGAGTGACATACGTCACTGATTTCAATACCCTTTGGCAACCACCAATGTGCCAATGTGTACACCGACTGCTAAGTACATAAATCAAACCAGATCAGCCATTCATACACCACATGTCTTCCCACCTTTAAAACTTTTGGTGTTAGTTTCAAATTTTCCAACTTAACAACGGATTGTACCCGCTCAACATGCCCAGTCTTGGTTGGCTTGCCTCGTACCGGGTGGTGCATTAGACATTTGCAACTCCTTCGAGTCATCAATAAGACAATGGGTTTTCATTTGTCTCTATTTCCCCCAACCATTCTTACTCTTCCCATATAGTTGGGAAGAAGAGTGGTTGTACTTAATGAGTCGATGACCACCCTTGAGGCCAATTTGGCTTTGTCCAACACATACGACTTGTTGGCTTCCACACTTCACACATAACCATTGTTTGTCTTTTGTAGGACCATGTCTGGTTGGTGTGCGCCAAGATGTCTTTTTCATGCCCCATTGCTTGTCATTCATGTTAGGCATGCCATTAGGGTTGTTAAGTATAGACTTGCCTCCTTGGACACCATTCATACTTGGTCTGCCATGAGGGCTGTTAGGCAATAGAATGATCTCTTTGTATATTCCTCAACACCCTCTCATGCTTAGAAATTTTTTGAGCGGATTAGGTTGATGAACACTCCTAAACTTTCCCTCCAATATATTCGTTATAGTGGATGGCATACCCCCTGTCCACTACATGTGGCTCAAGATATTCCCATCATACCACTTTTCATTGTATGTGGCATGCCCCCCTTGCTACAGATAGCTACACTATCATGCTTACTATAAGCATGTGTGGCTTGGGTTTGTTGTGGCTTCTTGGGCACGTCTATCTGTCCACTATTTGTGGTTGATGGCATGCACCCTGTCGACCATTCATGGTTGGCATGCTATGTGGGGCCTTAGCCATGAACTTGCCTCCTTTTTCACTCTTTGACACGCTCTCAAAGTTATGAAAATCATGGGTGGCATGGGTATGCAACACCCCCGTAGACTTGCCACTCACTTCATTCTTCGCGTTTGATGACATGCTCCCCTTCCCACTACATGAAGCTGAAAAGATGCCCTTCTTCCCACACTTAGTTACAATATGTGGTGAGTCCCTAGACAAATCACTTTTTCCATTTATCATGAAATCAACGTGCCCCCTAGCTTGACATTTCACCTTCAACTTGTCAGGTGGTAAGCTTTCATACCACCTTTGTAGACCCTCTGACGGTTCGCATTCACCAGAATTGATGGGCATGGATGGCAGTGGAGTTGGGCAAGCTTGTGGGAACACATCTGTAGTGAGTGGCCCTCCACCAACTTTCACATTAAATCATGGTCTAGCCTCTAACGCAGTTTCTAAAGTAACTGTCAGTATAGGAAATTGCTTTACGCGAGTGGTGAACGTGGGAGCGAGATTCTCGCACAACCACCAAATTGAAGAGGTGGTTGACTGGTCACTGGACACGATGAGTTCTCTGGCCGTGGCTTAGTAGTCCGGCCACCGGAGTCTAGAATTCTCGTATCCCTAGTAGCAACGCTTGATAGTGGATCTACACCATCTTTCGTCAAAACCTTCGATCTCAACACTGGCTTCATTAAAAGTTGGTGAAACTTCTTAAAATTATTTTCATTTATCTCGCAAATCTCATCCAGTTGATCCAAACATCAATTTAGGCGAGTATGGAAACAATCAAGTTGAGATACAATTTGTTTTGTGTATCCCACCATAGCCTCCTCCATTAATTGTATTTCTACCACCAGTGACTTGTGGAGAGACAAAGTGGTGGTGGTTACACCCACACATGATGTCGGTGATGGCTGACCTCTTGCCCCACCATTGTTTACGGCGTCAATTTTTGTTATTTGGCCAAGATCATACCTGGCCACTAGCTCTTTTACAATCCAGGTGATAGATCACCTTCTCGTTCTCTCAGTCGTGGAGTCATCAAATCAAATACACAGGGTCCCACCGGGTGTGCCAATTTGTTTTTTGGCAAGGAAAACTTGGGTGTTTGAAATCAATTAATGCACCTTGACTTATTGAACAACGAAAATTAACACGATTCACATCTTTGAACAATGTTCGAACGAGGGTGTTTGATGGTTTTTAAGGAACAATCTACGTTAATTACTCCTACTCTTATGGAGGTTCAGTGAGAGCTCCAAAAACTAAAGGTAAAACTAATTTGCAGAGAGTATATATTTTGACATTGTGCGTTAAATGTTTGATTGTTGAACCCTCTTACAATCTTAGTTTCTCCTATTTATATCCACTAGGTGTATTGGTAACTGCTAGCCAGCATGTTGCTCCAACCGCCTTAGGACCCCGTGTCGCCGCCTTGGTGTTGACTCCTATCACCTTGGGGCCCCTTGTCTGGCCTTGTTGACTGGTTGGTACTTGATAGCCTCGAAGCCAGGTTGGTGTTGAGTCGTGTTGCCTTCTCTTGACTGGATGGGGTTGAAGTCCTTAGCCTTGCCTCCATGATGAAGTCTCGACCACCCCCTTGGCAGCCCCCCCAAGACTCCATACTTAGTTTTGTTGATATCGTTTTGCTCCTGCTTTTGTTGTCTCTCCGACTTGATACCCCCTGCCACCAAGCCAGTCATGTCAGCCCCTACTACCAACCCAGCCTTAAGAGGCTCTACACCAATTCTCCATCAAGTTGATACCCAACCCATACTTAGCCAAATTCCATGTCATGGTACCAAGCCCTGCCTTGCCGAATTGGTATCCCATTAGCGCTGTACTTAGCCAAATTTCATATCTTGATACAAAGTCTGCCTTGTCGGCTTGTTGCTCCTTGCTTAGTTTTGCCACTCACCTTGTCTCCATACTTTTTTTTAGAGTCATATTACGAACTAAGGCGGTGGAGGCATCGTCTGGGCTACAGGGGCGGCCAACCACTAGGCTAGAGATAGGTGGCTTGGCCACTTAGGCACAAAAACGTAATAAGGCCCAGCTAGCTCATTTAATGATTAATGTTGAGCTAGCCTTATAAATCTATTAAATTTCTTGTAATTAGTCGATGTTGTATGAGATTAATTTTTAGGGGTAAACAATAACAAACCTTACCTCTATGGTTTTGCGATGCAACATCAAAGATACGCATTATATATGCCTTTTGAACAATATTTGCCAACGGCTCGTCATATCAAAGACAAAAGAACTTCAGTTTTGGTGCAAATATTTCCACCTTGTCCCAAGCCGAACAAACCAAGTACAGGCTAAGCAATTTGGATCCAGTCATCCAGATATCTTGAGAAAACCTCCATACAACCATGAAATTGAGGCAACGATTAAGGTGCAAGCTAGAAAAAGGATCCACGCCCTCATCACCCAGTACGCAATTTTTCAAACGCAAGGCTGTCAGCTTTGACAAAACCACTATCAATGTAGACACCAATCAATTCTAGAGATTTGAGGTTGGATTTCAAGAATGTACCGAAACAATTCATAGAATCTGTATCTTTCTTCCATACGACGAGTATCTCACGACCGATTAGGTGTCGAAGAAATGAAAGGGTGACATGAAAAATGAACTACGAAAGATGGCTGAATCCGTTAGTAGCATCTTCTTCTTCACCGCCCCTTTTCCTATTCTTCTTGAACTCGCAACTGCTGCTGATGTTCGTCATGGCTTTGGTCTACTTGAGGCTATTACAATGGATCACCTCTGCCGCTGCGATATGACAGAGAGATTACTGGCACCGCTGTTGGGGCTTACTTGAATTTGGTCCGTGGAATTCTCCGATCTGTTGGGGTTTACTTTGCAGGCAATCAGCTGGGGACAAGGAGCGATGAAGTGTGGAGGGGATGTAAGTTCCTTTTTTATTAAAGTCCCAGGCCCAAATATATTAGATTATTCCTTTTTTCTTACTGAAAAATTAACTTTTGTTCTAAACTCGAGTAAGATCACAATTCGAGAAATCACAAATTTACACAAGAAAACAGATGGTAAAATATTTAACAAATCCAAGGATTCGATAAACCAACCATGGGCAATTGGCACACTTCATCATCCTGCGGAACCAAAAATCTCTTCCCTAAACTTGCTAAAATATACATGGAATTTTACCTAAACTAGATTGGCTCGTGCTTTGTAGTGGTTCTCGACAATAAAATCGTGAAAAAGTAATATTATCCTTAAATCGAGTTGAACATCTTTAGTGATTTGAAATAATAGTAGCATTAAATTGAGATGAACTTCTCAGATAACCGTAATTAACTTTTAAATCTTCTCAGAGTTCAGAAAATTGGGTATGATTTTTCAATAAATAATTGGATTAAGAATGATACAACTGGACTTTAAATCGAATAGTTAAATACTAGCCTATTACCCGGCCCGTTGACCGGATTACTGTATGTTACCCACTTGTGGAATAGGAGAGAAAGCAAGTGAGAGTGAAGGGATTGGGATTCCACTTGATTAGGACCGACCCACTAATCCGATTCTTCCCGACCCCCCCCCCCCCAACCTAAAGGGTCAGAAAGAGTCAATACAGAAAGAGTCAATAAGAAAATACGAACGGAGAGGATTAGTCATATTCATATATCTTGACTCTTCAGAAGTGGGTCAAACAGGATCAAGGTTGGAGGAGGGATATTTTTAGCGCTAAGCAGAGTTCTGGGTTGAATAACATTACTTAGGCCTAGAAATTGGTGTTGATGCAGACTGCAGTTTTTATTATACCATCATCAATCATCATTGAATTAGTCCTGGGCATCCCTCCCCGTTGTCGGTATGAATTCTAATGATGGCTCCGTTCCTTGCACCAGCCTTATCAGCGAGTTGTCATCTCGAGCATGATTTGCCTATGTACAAATGATACAATTAGAGTATGAAACTGAATTCAAAGAAAAGGAAAAGAGATTTCTATCACATGCCAATAAATACACACATAATAGTTGAAGCTAAGTGAAAGTCATTACTCGCACATCAATTCTCAAAAATTACAGACTAAACAATGGCTAGAATGGTACTGAAACTACCAAGAATCATGGACGAAACAACTTGTCAAATTAAATAATCCTTATACTGAAACTACCTTCTAACTTGAAATAAGACATGATCACAGTTCATAGCTCTCTTCTCACTATGAATTGGTTGCAGCTCGTCCTTATCACTGCCTCCCAAGCTCAATTCAAACAGAATAGAGACCGTTATGTAAGATAACCATATCCTTACTGATCATAATTCCTTTCCTCACTCCATTTTTGTCAGAGAAAAGAGTTACCCCCCTCTCCTGCATTTCCCTTTCCCCCTCTCTTCTCCCTCTTCTTCACAAACCGATCCCTAAACCAGCAACAACAACACAAAAATAGCCTTCGCCTCTGCCATCTCCATCTACTGAACGCGTTGGTGGCAAGACAGGACTGCAGAAGCAAAATTTTCTAAAATCAAACTAAATTTTTTGAAGGAGACTCAACCACGAAAAAATAGTAAAGCAACAATGCTAATAGTTCAGATGGTTGGTTTTGATGTTATACATTGCTTTTGTTCTGGTCTCCAGTATATCAACTGCAATAGAGATGTTTCAAACGGAAACATTCATGGGTTCTTAACCCCCCTGTTAGTGTAAAAGCAGCAGCAGCAACAAAGAAGTTTGACAACACAGCAAGCACCCAGGCAAAATGATACAATGCAGTAGGTGATATGTGTCTCGAAGGTTTTGAGTTACTAAAGTTCATGTTAAAAATAAACATGAATTAAAATGGATTATTCTATTAAGCAAACATCCCCTCCAATCATACAAAGATCAGATATCCAATTCACAAACAATTAAGCCATAAAAAATCATCACACATCCACCACCTTTGATTGCCTAAATTTGGTTTTTCGCAAAAGTTATGGACTCTTAAGGGAAACGTTCATGGGTAGTCTGTTTCATAACTCTAGAGAGCACAGTAAGCAGCCACCAGCCAGACACAGTGCGGTAGGCGAATATGATTCTCAATTCACAATTTCTCACCACCGGAAGTAAGAACAGACCATAATAAGCGTAGCGTTCATGGGTGGTCTGTTTCATAGCACTACTACACAATTTGTTAAAAAAGAAAGAAAGGTATTTAGCACCACGGCGGAACAACTTTTACAGGCTAACAACGACAACATGCTGCAACCACCAGAACTGGTATCACAACTCATAGGGAAAATCAAAAGATTTACTCTCAAATTAAGCAGTTACAACATCGAGCAATTGTCAAGCACATACACCATCACAAAAGTCACGGAACCTGATTCACAAAGCATTAAAACATTTGAGGACATTTCTGCAAAGGTACAACTTATATGTCTTTTTTCCAAGCCATTTCCATCAAAATGCTAATAAATTTGCAATGCATAAAACAAACGGGCCAAAACTTGAAATTCAGCCTGTTTGACGACCCATGCCAAATTATAATTATTCTTTACTTTTAAACTTTCTATTTGAAAATAAAAAATAGTGAAAGAAAAGAGACGACTACAATTCGCCATTTGCACATCACTTATTCGGAAATAAAACCATAGAAATTCAAAAGGAACTGAAAATGTTTAGGATCGTTATAATGTTTAAAATAACCAAATAGATCTTTATGTTTAATTTTTTACTAACAAATACCAAACGATTCCCTATAAAATACACTATAATTTGATCATTATGATATCAAATAATTATAAAATATATATTTGAAATGATAAAAATTGGACTAATTGTGTTGGTCGAGGTTGAACCATTGAATAACTTTAAAATACATTATATTTCAGCCACTAAGATATAAAATAATAGCATAATATATATTATGTCAGAGAAATTAGCGTATTTTAGAATGACAAACCAATGATGTTCATTTATTTTATTGATGGCCAAATCCCATGTAGGTCAGACACATTCAACTCTTTTATTTTATGGTTGGCGGTTAGCCCATTAGATACCATGCATTAGTTTATTGTTAAATGTTTTATTTTTAAAAATAAAAAGGAGTATTATTTTTACCTTTTCATATATATTTTGTCACCACGGAGAAATAAAAGGGCTTAAAGAAAATAAAATTGACACTCCTGGACCCGTTTAAATTCACATGTGTACGGTAAGTTGGCCCGTTCCACAGAGGAAAGAGAAAAAAAATTGACACTCCCTATTCTACCCTTCCTACAAACGCTCATGGAGCAGGGATTTGAAATGGGGGAAGAGTTTTTTCCTCCCTGCTATTATATGTTTTTAATTTAAAAAGATACAACAAATGTGCGTAGTGTGATTGGTTATTATCCTTGCTTTTCTTTAAAATGGTCATGGTTCGAATCCCAGTACGTGTCTTTTTAATGAATAAAAAAAAAGTAATTGTGAAGACCAAAATGTCCTTCCTACTTTCACTCTCGTTGCAGGAAATTTGAAATGGAGCTCCCGTTTTTCCCTTCGGCGTATTATATTATGTGTAGATATATATATATATATATATATATATATATATATATATATATATATATATGGTTATCTCTTCGGTGCACTCACTTTTTTGGTGCATTCAATGCAGCCGCCTTATAATCGCCCTTCTGAGCAGGCGATTCATGTGAAAACGATATCAATCATCACTTGTGGTATGATGAACAAGAACCACATGAATTTGTACAAAAATCATTCAAGATTCACTTTAATTTGAATGATTCAGAGTTTAGGAATTTAGGGTTAGAGTTAGGGTTTACGTTTGGGATTTTGAGTTGAGATTCAAAATTGAAGGTTAATAGGTTAGGGTAATGGGTTGATTAGTTGTGATTCTGTGTTATATCATCATATTAGACTAATGCAACCCATTAAATTTCAAAATTTGATGTATTATGACCACTTTTAGAGGTGGGTGCACTGAATGCACCCAAAAAAGTGAGTGCACCGAAGTAGCCACCATATATATATATGTGGTGGCTACTTCGGTGCACTCATAAAAATGATTGCGTTCAATGCACCCAACTCAAAAACTAGTCTTACGGTGTCGGATTTTGAATTTTAATTTATAGAATTAGTGTAATAGATGATATAGCTATGATAACAACTAATTAATGAATTACCCTAAGCTCTAGACCTCCAATTTTGAATTCTATCACTAAA